GCTCGATTTGATGTTTTCCCATTGGCTAAGGTGGCAGTTTGCTTACGTGTTCTATATTATCAAAGTTCACCCTTCTGTAATCTGTGGCACAAGTGTTCTATATTATCTAAGCTTTGCTAAGTTAGCGCTTCTGTAATTTGTGGCACAAGTGTTCTATATTATCTAAGCTTTGCTAAGTTAGCGCTTCTGTAATGTATGGCACAAGTGCTATACACTGTCAAGGATTTGCTAAGCTTAAGTTTCTGTTATCTGTTTGCAATGGCAGAAGTTTTTATTTTATAACTGAACAGTTTCAAGCTTTAATGTTGGAGATTGTGAAGCTATCGACTCGTACTCTACTGTAGCAGCTGCGTAACGTGTGTACTGTAGTACTGGGTCGTGTACACTGTCGTGGTAGTACTGGTGATGTACAGTCGTCCCAGTACCACAATACCTTGGGATAGTCACTAAGATAGGACGATAAGACCTGTCATTCGGAGTTGTACTGTATATACTAATTACTGTATCTACTAATTAATGTCTTACGATTGAAAGACTTCTAATATCACTCTAGCTGTTGACGCGTATTGTAACAAACTCTTTTCATCAAATAATGTGCAGCAAGTTTTTCTTTAGACCTAAATGCTTACACTAAATAGTTTTTCATAATCAACGAAATTAATTCCGAGGAAAAATTCTTCCTTAGATGCCTCCAAGTTCCCGAGCATCTCATGATCAAGTTCGAAATATTTCGTCCAAGTTGTGCGAGAAACAACCATTGGTGAGCGATACACTCTGGGACAGAACATCTTCCCAGCATCCTTCATTTGGGGTTTCGCCTATAATTTTTCCCTCTAATTGTAGCTGCTGGGTGATCGAGAATATTAGATTATTGGATAACTCCTGGCGATTTAATTAATTAATAAAAATTCAATCTGGTTGAGAGCTAAAGTGAAAAAGAAAAAGTTTGGGCGTCTGCGGCCAGGGAGGGAAGGAGCCACTGAATATTTTAATCCTTGTGTTCATTGATTATTTCCTCACTGTAACTTCCTTTTTCCCCCTCTCTTATGCTTGATGGATCTTCACCAGGTGACGGGGGAAGTAATGCTGAGGTTGGTAATGGCGGCCACCGCGCTGGTCCATAGGTTCCCTTCTCTGTTGGAGAGCCCAGGAATGCTCCAGTTTAAGGGTATTGCTGGGGGCTCACTCAAGTATTATATTGCGCACCTCCGGTCACACGCGTGCTCCTGTGCGCCCGCGCGCGCGCGCACACACACACACACACACACACACACACACACACACACACACACACACACACACACACACACACACACACACACACACACACACACACACACACACACACACACACACACACACACACACAAACACACACACACACACACACATGATATGATATAGATACGATAGATCCCAGTAGGCTCACGAACCTGTACACTAGATGGCAAAAATTTAAGAAATTTGGGCATGGAACAAAACCTCAGAGATCACACACAGTACCTTAAGACCTGTCTCTCCCTGGCTGAGATGTTCTTCACAGCCCTCTCTGGACCCCGGTGTCCGGCACTCTGTCCCTACTAAGTCCCTACAGGACCTCTATATACAACCCCCACAGGGGGGGAGGGGGGAGGTCTGCTGTTGCTACCTACACCAAGAATGTAAGAGATCGGCCACACGTGTACAAACACTCAAGAAATATTTCAATAAGCTTGTTTGACATTCACCATACACTCTTCAAGAGAGGAGTTATTAATTACGTGTGTGACTGACCTCTGACCTGGCCAAAAGGGGGAGATCCATGGATGTTTACACATAAGAATCTGGGGTCTAATTCCCTTGCAATGTTTGACCAGAGTATCATGAAATATTACATACTTGAAACTATGCTGACTAAGACTAACCCAGGAATTTTTTTAATCAACATACAAGATAATCCGGAGGTACTAGTTGATTGATAGTTGAGAGGCGGGACCAGAAAGCCAGAGCTCAACCTCCGCAAACAACTAGGTGAGTACAACTAGGTGAGTACACGCACACAGGGCCTCACGGCTGAGTGGACAGCCCTCAAGGGTCGAAGTCCTAATGGCCCAAGTTCAATTCCCGGCGGAGGCGAACACAAATGGGCAGAGTTTCTTTCATCTTGTTGCTTCTGTTCAACTGGCAGTAAACAGGTACCTGGGAGTTAGACAGCTGCTATGGGCTGCTTCCTGGGGATGTGTGTGTGTTAGATAAATATATGTATTAGACATAAAGGAAAAATAAATTTGTTAGAAAGGCGGGGTCCAAGAGCTGATAGCTCGATTTTGCAGATATAAATAGTAAATACACATACATACACTCTCTCTCTATATATTCTATATTTCTCTTTCTTTTATTTTTTTCCTAATAAAGGCAGGGGCTGAATAGGAACAAATGAACGTTCCTAAATTCAGCAAGCTAACAGCTGTTATTCGACATCAGCTCATAACACACCAAACCCTTAAAATTTATATCTTTAATGAGTTTATTATTTTCATAACGTATAAGCTTTATTTGATATTAAATTGTAGTCATGTTAGGTACAGGGTGAAGTTGGGGCCAGATGTGTAGTGTGGCCTGCAGGTGGTCCATTAACTTGGCTTCAGGAGTATGTAGACGCTGAGAGAACTTGTTCCAGATGCCAGTCTTCCTGGTAATGAATAGTCGTTGATGGTGTGACGCCATGTAATCATACTGGCTGAGCGCTTTCTTCTCAAAATTGCCCTACCTGATGGACTGATGCTCTTGAGAACGGCATAACCAGAAGAGGTTATTGATGACTGAGCGCCTTATGTTGTGGGTGTCGTCTTGTAGTTGTCCACTAAGTTGATCCAGGAGGTGACCTGCGAGAACTATAGCCTTATACCTAACAGTAAGGCTAGTGTCTTCTGTTGAAGGCTGTGGTGTACTGACCAGTCCAGCCAGGACCTTTCAGGTCAGAGAAAGGATGATGGGGCAGACCATCCAAGACTGCAGTGCCTGCTCCAGATAGGATCGAACCTGAGTGACGGCTCCCTTGGTCACCTCTCGAATATTTCACTCAATACCAAGACCAGAAGTCATCAAGCACTTACCACTTACCAGAATTCACCACTTACGAAACCTGAATCTTTTTCAACAGCCATGGTGGTTTACATTCATTAAACCGTTTACAAGCTTTGAAACTTCACAATCTAAGGTTATTATTATTATTATTATTATAGACAACCTCGTAGAGCTTAAGAGTTCATAAACTATTTAATACATCTAAACAAAGCCGCCATGATTGAGGAAAGGTGTACAAGTTATCGTAAGTGGGAGAGTAAATGCTTGATGAATCCTGGCCCCCTGGTTCATATTATTATAATTGTTGGTATTTGTACACCGCTGTGTTTGCCAGGAGTGGCTTCACGCACCTTGATGACCTCGTAACAGCTCAGTAAACCACCAGTTTGGGTGCTATGGTGTTTGCCGAGTGTGCCGCTCCTTCTGTCTCTCCCGTCTCTCGTCTCTCCCCTCTCTCCCGTCTCTCGTCTCTCCCCTCTCTCCCGTCTCTCTCTCCCCCTCTCTCCCGTCTCTCGTCTCTCCCCTCTCTCCCGTCTCTCTCCCCTCTCTCCCGTCTCTCTCTCCCGTCTCTCTCCCCTCTCTCCAGTCTCTCTCCCGTCTCTCTCTCCCCTCTCTCCCCTCTCTCCCTCACCCTAATGAATCGAGTTTTGTTTTCATGCTGACGGAAACAGCCCCCTGTGTTTATACCTGGTCAGTGGCGCCACTTGCCTCCTTACACCTCTCCTGCTTGGGCTAATTACTCTTTATTCTGCCCTTTTTTTTACATATAGCATGCTCCCATGTGACCCTCATACACAGTAATACCGATAAATGGGTAATGCTCATGTATGGGGTAATGCTCATTAACGAGTAATGCTCAAATCCGTGAGCCTCATAAATCGGTTATACTCATAAATAGGTTTATTTCCTAAACAATAATACTAAACGAAACTGGATATATATATATATATATATATATATATATATATATATATATATATATATATATATATATATATATATATCTAGTTTCGTTTAGTATTATATATATATATATATATATATATATATATATATATATATATATATATATATATATATATATATATATATATATATATATATATATCTTGCAATTGAGATCAATAAGGCAAATCTCATCAGTAACCAACGCAAGAAGGTTCGTGGGCGAATTCAATCTGTCACAACTGTTGTTGGTAATGGATCTGATACTAAGGTAAAATGTGGCCATACTTTTATCATGGAGTCGTGGCAGGCGCCACCCGCCAGCCTCAGGTCAGCATCACAACATCCTACAACAGGTTACTGTTGTTTCCACCATATCTGTATAATATGTATGGTATTAATTGAATGAGAAATTAAGTCCATTTAACATACACACGGGTATACGTTGAGCTGAACTTTTGTGAGTCTTTATAACCCGGTTGAACCTTTGATCTCACGCTCGCTGGTCTATGTTCTTCAAGTGTGCTTAAGGAACACTTGCGAAATAACGCCATCTTGTGAGCTTCAGTACTAGAGCAGCAACTAATGTTACCAACCGTCCACAGCTTTGATGCTTATGATATCTGATGTACCTGAATCACAATATTCAGGTGTGGTATATGGTATCATTACTTTGTGGTATATGGTATCATTGTTATATGTGGTATATGGTATCATTACTTTGTGGTATATGGTATCATTGTTATATGTGGTATATGGTATCATTACTTTGTGGTATATGGTATCATTGTTATATGTGGTATATGGTATCATTACTTTGTGGTATATGGTATCATTACTTTGTGGTATATGGTATCATTGCTATATGTGGTATATGGTATCAGAATTTGAAAAAATATACTCCCATAGAATTACCAAACCTACTTAATAAAATTATAACATGCATGGGTATAAGTAAAAATTAACCCAATGGATTCTTATAAGAGACCATGGCGGCACCAAGGTAAGATGGTCTCAGGCCAGGATGCGTTAGGCGACGAACATTGAAAAGCGTGTGTAAGGTAATCTACAGGAATACCTGATTAGTATTAAGTGTCAGAAACCAGGGAACGCCCGACCAAGGCGTCAGAAACCAGAGAACATCAGATCAAGGCGTCAGACGCCAGAGAACATCAGAGCAAGGCGTCAGACGCCAGAGAACATCAGAGCAAGTCGTCAGACGCCAGAGAACATCAGATCAAGGCGTCAGACGCCAGAGAACATCAGATCAAGGCGTCAGACGCCAGAGAACATCAGATCAAGGCGTCAGACGCCAGAGAACATCAGATCAAGGCGTCAGACGCCAGAGAACATCAGAGCAAGGCGTCAGACGCCAGAGAACATCAGAGCAAGGCGTCAGATGCCAGAGAACATCAGAGCAAGGCGTCAGACGCCAGAGAACATCAGATCAAGGCGTCAGACGCCAGAGAACATCAGATCAAGGCGTCAGACGCCAGAGAACATCAGATCAAGGCGTCAGACGCCAGAGAACATCAGATCAAGGCGTCAGACGCCAGAGAACATCAGATCAAGGCGTCAGACGGAAGAGAACATCGGAGCAAGGCGTCAGACGCAAGAGAACATCAGATCAAGGCGTCAGACGCCAGAGAACATCAGATCAAGGCGTCAGACGCCAGAGAACATCAGATCAAGGCGTCAGACGTAAGAGAACATCGGAGCAAGGCGTCAGACGCCAGAGAACATCAGATCAAGGCGTCAGTCGTAAGAGAACATCGGAGCAAGGCGTCAGACGCCAGAGAACATCAGATCAAGGCGTCAGACGTAAGAGAACATCGGAGCAAGGCGTCAGACGCAAGAGAACATCAGATCAAGGCGTCAGACGTAAGAGAACATCGGAGCAAGGCGTCAGACGCCAGAGAACATCAGATCAAGGCGTCAGACGTAAGAGAACATCGGAGCAAGGCGTCAGAAGCCAGAGTACATCAGATCAAGGCGTCAGAAGCCAGAGAACATCAGATCAAGGCGTCAGACGCCAGAGAACATCAGAGCAAGGCGTCAGAAGCCAGAGAACATCAGATCAAGGCGTCAGACGCATCAGAAGGCGTCAGACATCAGATCAAGGCGTCAGACGCCAGAGAACATCAGATCAAGGCGTCAGACGCCAGAGAACATCAGATCAAGGCGTCAGACGCCAGAGAACATCAGATCAAGGCGTCAGACGCCAGAGAACATCAGATCAAGGCGTCAGACGCCAGACAACATCAGATCAAGGCGTCAGAAGCCAGAGAACATCAGAGCAAGGCGTCAGACGCCAGAGAACATCAGAGCAAGGCGTCAGATGCCAGAGAACATCACAGCAAGGCGTCAGAAGCCAGAGAACATCAGATCAAGGCGTCAGACGCCAGAGAACATCAGAGCAAGGCGTCAGACGCCAGAGAACATCAGATCAAGGCGTCAGACGCCAGAGAACATCAGATCAAGGCGTCAGACGCCAGAGAACATCAGATCAAGGCGTCAGACGCCAGAGAACATCAGATCAAGGCGTCAGACGCCAGAGAACATCAGATCAAGGCGTCAGACGCCAGAGAACATCAGATCAAGGCGTCAGACGCCAGAGAACATCAGATCAAGGCGTCAGACGCCAGAGAACATCAGATCAAGGCGTCAGACGCCAGAGAACATCAGATCAAGGCGTCAGACGCCAGAGTACATCAGATCAAGGCGTCAGACGCCAGAGAACATCAGATCAAGGCGTCAGACGCCAGAGAACATCAGATCAAGGCGTCAGACGCCAGAGAACATCAGAGCAAGGCGTCAGAAGCCAGAGAACATCAGATCAAGGCGTCTGACGCCAGACAACATCAGATCAAGGCGTCAGACGCCAGAGAACATCAGAGCAAGGCGTCAGACGCCAGACAACATCAGAGCAAGGCGTCAGATGCCAGAGAACATCACAGCAAGGCGTCAGACGCCAGAGAACATCAGATCAAGGCGTCAGACGCCAGAGAACATCAGATCAAGGCGTCAGACGCCAGAGGACATCAGATCAAGGCGTCAGACGCCAGAGAACATCAGATCAAGGCGTCAGACGCCAGAGAACATCAGATCAAGGCGTCAGACGCCAGAGAACATCAGAGCAAGGCGTCAGACGCCAGAGAACATCAGATCAAGGCGTCAGACGCCAGAGAACATCAGATCAAGGCGTCAGACGCCAGAGAACGTCAGATCAAGGCGTCAGACGCCAGAGGACATCAGATCAAGGCGTCAGACGCCAGAGAACATCAGATCAAGGCGTCAGACGCCAGAGAACATCAGATCCAGAGACGCCAGAGGACATCAGATCAAGGCGTCAGACGCCAGAGAACATCAGATCAAGGCGTCAGACGCCAGAGAACATCAGATCAAGGCGTCAGACGCCAGAGAACATCAGATCAAGGCGTCAGACGCCAGACAACATCAGATCAAGGCGTCAGACGCCAGACAACATCAGATCAAGGCGTCAGACGCCAGACAACATCAGATCAAGGCGTCAGACGCCAGACAACATCGGAGCAAGGCGTCAGACGCCAGAGTACACTTGGATGAGAGTGTTGGAGGTAACCTCAGCCCCTCCACCATCCCTCCATGCCACTCTGATGCCCGTAAACTCCCTCTAAGAAAAAGAAGAACAAAAATAAGACGAAGGAGAAATGACCTTTAAATTTTGCGAGCGAACAAGGGGTTAGTGACCAATTAAGCTCGATGAAAAGACCCCCCTCTGCGCGAAATGGGTCATTTTAATTTTACATTACCCTGGATTATCGTCCTTAAAATGCTTCGTGGACGAAATTGACATCAATAATTTTATACGAGATGCAGTGATGAAGTTATTAGCCGACCAAAGTTCCGGAGGAAAAAGTCTTGGCAGGGAAAGACAAAAAGTCGCCGCCTTTGCATAAAGTATTTATATCTGCTCTTAACTTCAACGGTATCTTAACAAAAATTGTATTTGGTTTTTGTAACTCCAAATAATGAATTAGTGGCGCTCAGGTGGCGAGAAAATAAGCTAGGATACATTCGAGGCTAATGGGCGTGTAATGTATGTGTGTGTGTGTGTGTGTGTGTGTGTGTGTGTGTGTGTGTGTGTGTGTGTGTGTGTGTGTGTGTGTGTGTGTGTGTACTCACCTAGTTGTGTCTGCAGGATCGATCATTGACTCTTGGATCCCGCCTTTCGAGCATCGGTTGTTTACAGCAATGACTCCTGTCCTATTTCCCTATCATACCTGGTTTTAAAATTATGAATAGTATTTGCTTCCACAACCTGTTCCTGAAGTGCATTCCATTTCCCCACTACTCTCACGCTAAAAGAAAACTTCCTAACATCTCTGTGACTCATCTGAGTTTCAAGCTTCCATCCATGTCCTCTCGTTCTGTTACTATTCCGTGTGAACATTTCGTCTATGTCCACTCTGTCAATTCCTCTGAGTATCTTATACGTTCCTATCATGTCCCCCCTCTCCCTTCTTCTTTCTAGTGTCGTAAGGCACAGTTCCCTCAGGCGCTCTTCATACCCCATCCCTCGTAGCTCTGGGACGAGTCTCGTTGCAAACCTCTGAACCTTTTCCAGTTTCATTATATGCTTCTTCAGATGGGGACTCCATGATGAGGCGGCATACTCTAAGACTGGCCTTACGTAGGCAGTGTAAAGCGCCCTAAATGCCTCCTTACTTAGGTTTCTGAATGATGTTCTAACTTTTGCCAGTGTAGAGTACGCTGCTGTCGTTATCCTATTAATATGTGCCTCAGGAGATAGATTAGGTGTTACGTCCACCCCCAGGTCTCTTTCACGCGTCGTTACAGGTAGGCTGTTCCCCTTCATTGTGTACTGTCCCTTTGGTCTCCTATCTCCTAGTCCCATTTCCATAACTTTACATTTGCTCGTGTTGAATTCTAGTAGCCATTTCTCTGACCATCTCTGCAATCTGTTCAGGTCCTCTTGGAGGATCCTGCAATCCTCATCTGTCACAACTCTTCTCATCAACTTTGCATCATCCGCAAACATCGACATGTAGGACTCTACGCCTGTAAACATGTCGTTAACATATACAAGAAATAGAATTGGTCCCAGCACCGATCCTTGTGGTACTCCACTTGTTACTGTTCGCCAGTCCGACTTCTCGCCCCTTACCGTAACTCTTTGGCTCCTTCCTATTAGGTAGTTCCTTATCCATTCTAGGACCTTTCCCCCCACCCCCGCCTGCCTCTGTGTGTGTGTGTGTGTGTGTGTGTGTGTACTCACCTATATACTCACCTATATGTGCTTGCAGGATCGAGCATTGACTCTTGGATCCCGCCTTTCTAGCTATCGGTTGTTTACAGCAATGACTCCTGTCCCATTTCCCTATCATACCTAGTTTCCCAGGAGGTATGTGTGTGTGTGTCTGTGTGTGTGTCTGTGTGTGTGTCTGTGTGTGTGTCTGTGTGTGTGTCTGTGTGTGTGTCTGTGTGTGTGTCTGTGTGTGTGTCTGTGTGTGTGTCTGTGTGTGTGTCTGTGTGTGTGTCTGTGTGTGTGTGTGTGTGTGTGTGTGTGTGTGTGTGTGTGTGTGTGTGTGTGTGTGTGTGTGTGTGTGTGTGTGTGTGGACCACCACGTTTCGGGCCGTACATTATTGCTCTAACCTTCTAAACAGACGTGAGCTGACTTAAACTTTGCCCGTTGTGGATTCCTTCCCCCTCCCCCCTTTTTCTTATTCTTACCATTCCTCATATTCTTACCTTCCTCTTTTTCTTAAACTCATCCTATTCTTGCATTCCTCGTATTCTTACCTAATTCTTATATTCATCCTATTCTTACATTCTTCATATTCTTTCCGTATTCTTACCTAATTCTTACTTTCATCCTGCTCATACCTTTTTCTTACCTACTCCTCACCTCACTCATACATGCTCCTCACCTCTCTTACCTACTTCTCCCCTTATTCTCTGTACTCATATTTGCCTGTACCTTCCTATCTTCCATGTGTGTTAGTATCCACAGCCCCGCCCCGCTCCTGTGCCAGGTAAGTCCACGACGGGCTCACCATAGCCCGTGCTACTTCCAACTTTTTGTTCCGAGTAGTTGTGTTGTGGGCACCGCGGGTGTTGTGTGCACCGCGGGTGTTGTGTGCACCGCGGGTGTTGTGTGCACCGCGGGTGTTGTGTGCACCGCGGGTGTTGTGTGCACCGCGGGTGTTGTGTGCACCGCGGGTGTTGTGTGCACCGCGGGTGTTGTGTGTGTGCGTGTGTTGTGTGTACCGCGGGTGTTGTGGAAGTGATCATCCTGGCATCTGAGGTCGTTCATATCCAACTCATGTGTTTCAAATCGCTTACCTATATGTAATCACCTTACAGAAGACGAGAGCCCCAGTACACCAAACACAGTCGACGCCTTACAGACACACGAGTTAATCTACCATGGTGTTATGATTGATAATGTGTTGTGTTTCACTCTGTAAGAAAACTTTGAAATTTTATACTTCGAATGATTAGTTTGTTCACTGATTATCTCCACGTAAATTACCGTGAGAACATCAGACGTCTTGGCTTGAACGAATCACGTCTAAGGTTTGAACTAGAGGAAAACCTCATTTTATTACTAATTTGTTTTCGACACGGGGAAGTAGATTATTTTGTTTGATATATGCTACGATTTTTATCACATTTGAAGTATTGGTCGAGGACTCAACTCTGGCTCACTAGAGGATGTTTCAGATTTACATTTATCAGTTGGTATATTTTTAGTTCTTTGTTGTGAATGCTCGTTACTTTGAGGTGGTTCCGAGGATCAATGTCCATGCGGTCCCGTCTCTGGACAGGTCTCCTAGTTAGGGGGTTTGTCCAACCAGGCTGTTATTCGTGGGCAGATTTGCAACTAGCCAATTTAATATTTTCCAAGCGCAAATTATATATCTATCTCTGGTCTGCACTCTGAAGCTAAAGCATACAGTTTGAGACATCTTAAGCGGTCCCAATAATTGAGATGTTTTATTGAATGGGTTCGGGTACACTCAGCAACTTTGCCAGTTATGAGCGGGACTGTTAGAGTGCAACAATATTTCACCCTAAGGAGCATTAGTATCTTAAAGAGTATCATTACTGGTTTAGCATCTCTTGTTTGAAAGGGGTCTTTCTTTTATATACTTGATATAGTGTGATTTGACTGTTTCGTATGTTGTCCCTGTTTTGATCTATTCACGTTTACCATAGCTGGAACTTGTCTTCATTTAACATGTTGTTTTCTGAGGCCCATTGAGAATTTTGGTTTAAATCTACTTCAAGATTTGCCGTGTCCTCTGCAGTTTCTACTCTTAAAAAAAAATCCTAATGTCATATGCAAAGGATGGTAAAGTAATATAATTTGTGTCCTTTTTTATGTCTAACATGAGAATGAGTACTGGATGAAGCACAGTCCTGGGGAGACTGAGCGCTTCATGGTGGACGATCCGGATTTTATTCTGTTGACCATTACCCTTTGGGTTCTGTTCGGTAAGACATTAAACATTCATCTACCTACTCTCCTAGCTATTGTCTTAATGGCTTGACGCTTTCCCTTGATAACTCCCTTCCCTACCTACTTTACCAGTTATTCCTTTGCGTGTGTTTTTTGTGTGCATTTTATCGAAAGGTTTCTCCAAGTCTGTGTATATTACATCAGCGTTTTACGTGTCTTCCATGGCATCCAAAGCCATGTCATAGTGGTCTAGCAATTATGAGATGCGTGAGTGTTTGGCTCTAAACTCATATTGGCTAGAATTATGTAGACGTTGTGAGTCCCTGATGTGTGATGTTAGCGTGATATCTGCTATTTTATGGTTATCAGGAATAATACCAGTATCCAGACTCCATCTCCAAATGATGTTAAGGACCTTCGGTAGATTTTTTTTTTTTTTTGCAATGTATGATGAATTTGGAATTCTACGAGTCCGGACTTGGGATGGGGGGGGCATGGGCATGCTGTCTTTGGCTACTTCAAAGTCTAGTGGGGTTATGGTGACATCTTAGATATGGGTCGGTGTCAGGTTCATGAAATGGATTACCTGTCCTCAGTGTGTTCAAGGTTCGCTGTAAGCAGAATCATGCTGTGTGCTTTCACTCATCTTTTTGTTATCATTAGTGAAGTTTCTATCTCCCTTGCACAAGGTCCCAATACTATATGTAGTGTTTGCTCTAGACTTTGCACTGATATATAAAATAAGATATCAAAATATAAAATAATAGTGGTAATAATTCAATATGTTCCTCCATATGTATATAGCAAGGTTTTGCTGTTGATGAAGCTGGCAGGAGATTAGTGGCGTGTGTGTGTGAGTGTGTGTGTGTGTGTGTGTGTGTGTGTGTGTGTGTGTGTGTGTGTGTGTGTGTGTGTGTGTGTGTGTGTGTGTGTGTGTGTGTGTGTGTGTTGATGCCATGGCCCTGTCTAGATTCTATACATCATATATATGGAGATTGAACTGAATATAATGGACATTATATATATAGTTTATATGCAAAATTATACTTATCAGTGTATGTACACTAGTGAATGTATCGGAGAAGTGCTGTA